AAAAACTATGTAAATATGAAAAAAGGTCAGTCCAGCATCGGTCCTTAATACCTCGTGCATGCAGGTTTACAAGTTAAAAAACTAACGGACACATAGAACGATAGACGCGGAGAGAGACTTGAATTTATATATTTATTTGCTGTAAGACTGACACAAAATTTTAATATCGTTTTAATACAGTGATATCAATACCGAAAAATATATCAGAAGATTGCACAATGACATTAGCTCGAGATTTGGTTTAGATATAATATACATCTCATATATTTAGTGCACTAGTTTTTTTATACTCGTCTTATTTATTTTTATTAACTGTTAATAATACACTTTATACATTGCTACACGTGAGCTAACAAACGTTTTTAGGTTAAAAGGCCAAGTGATTGTTACCAAACAATATTCAACATTTGACTCTACAATACGTAATAACTACCTATATTTGTTTAACACAATTTGTTTATAAAATTAGCTGAAAACAAAGGTCACAGTTGTACCAATGTGTCCAGTCATTGCACTGGACCTCGCGCCCTCTACTACACCACAAATATCAACGCGGGACACTGCTGTGTACCGGCAGACATACGTGTGAGGGTGGTAGCCTGCAGACGCTTGTAACATTAAGGCCTAACCACTGTACTTCTATCCATACATACATAATACTTGAGCACGCATTATTAAACGGTCATAAATATATTCATTTATAGTCTAATTTGTATGTTTGATACTTCACACATGAAGCAACGCTATCATATGCAACCCAACAATACAAAGTTACATAAGCTAATGTTAAGTCATTACTTATAATACAAAAGATATTTTTGCGTGTTTGTTGAACCACTGTCAATAGTAACAATGCGCCCATATTAGAGAGACAATGTTGTGAAATTCATACTGTAATATTCTTTCGCGCTTTGATTATAAGTAATTTTTTATGTTGTCACTTCATGAATATGAGTATGCTGATTTATGTAAAGCATTGATGTGGATTATATCAAAGATTTTTTGGCAGCACAACGGAGTAAAAAACATAGATAAAAAAAAATTTACATGTCCATAAAAACTATCTACAATAATGAGCGAGAAATAAAATTCGTTATGGTAGCATAAAACGACTGTTTTGAACATTCGGATATTTGTGGATTGCATAGCAAAGGATAACAAGTCGTAGCAGACGAATATAATACGGATCCCAGAATGCTAAGACCTGATTGTGTTTTACCCAATAAAGTAGCTCGGTAGCGTAGTGGATAAACGCCGTGGCCCGCGATAGTTGTCGTTAAGCAACTTTCCACGGGATGGGTGACCAAAAAATTATTATCTCGAACTACTCCGTACTTCGGAAGGCATGTTAAACCATTGGTCCCGGCTGGATTTGCAGTTGTTAATATCCTTCAATCCGCATTGGGCCAGCATGCAGGGTCATGGCCCATCCTCCTTAACCAACCATAAGGAAGGCCTGAACTCCTGCACTGGGGACGTAAAGGGGCTGATGATGATGAAAATCTGAAGATATAACCAGGACATTACAAACTCAGTTTTACATGTTTTCAACTAAGTTATTCTGATGCAAAACAATTTTGAATTCGATGTCAAACGCAGCGCTGTTACGTCACAGAGATTCAATGATATAAATCTTTTATTACTTATTGAAGAAGGTTTTGTTTGATGGAAACTCTATGCTATGACAGAGATTGACATGACGCTCATCGTCAAGGTCTGACGTTTTTATACACTTTTGAAGCACGAAAAAGCTCAATATATTTTTTCTCACCCATACCCGTCATTATGAAAATAGCTTAACCTCCGTAATTGCATACCGAAAGAGTTAACCACTGCTTAGTTCCTCGGATGCATTTATAGTATAAAACAAAGCTTTTCCCGCTGTCTTTTAAACTACACTGCATTAAAACCCGTTATAATGCGGTTTTCTTCAATACTCGTATATAGACTGATTCAAGAAGAAGATTTATATGTATAATATAAGACCATGCGGGCGAAGCCGCTTTTGGAAGGCTAGTAATTAATATAAAACTCAGTAAGAGTAATATTGTATGAATATATATAATTAATTCACCCAAGATTAACACGTAGATACCTGTGTTTTTTTTCTTGCGAGTAGAATGTCCGGCAAGTTAACCTTGCTCGGTGGACAATCAGAAGGTCGACCAGTCCGACAACTAGTCGTCACTATAGACGTAATTAAATAATAGAACTGAACGCTATTAATAATGCCAGCCTACCTGACAGACGTCTTATCCTGTTCCAAATTCTTGTCCATAAAAATACACGGTTTGGAGCCAGTTCAGTGAATTTAATTGAAGCATTTTAATTGAATAAAAGAATACCGGCTGGAAGATTATTATACACCAGCTGTTTTCCCGCAACTTGACCTGTGTAAATTAAAACCTTTAATCTACCCCGTATGATATTGCTTTCCTAAGGTGAAAGAATCATCATGACCGAAACAGTATTTCCGAAGATTGCAAACAAACAAAGTAAGAAATATTACCTCTATGTGATATTACTGTAGATAATTTTAAGTATGTAAATTAACGCTGTTATAAAGCTTTTTATTAAAATAAAAGCCTATTCAATTGAATATTCTGTTCAAAAACAGGTCGTAAAATGCGCTTGGAAACAGCTGTTACTCAACTCTGAGCATTTTAGATGCGCTGTCTATTCGTTACTTAAGTCTTAAGCAAGTAACCTTTGATGCCTTTGGTGACATTTCACAACTGTGGATATTAAAAAAACTACTGATCGACTGTTTGTTAGTGCTAATATTGGCTTACCTAGTATATTAATATTTCACAAGTAGGTACGTCAAAGGTCAGTCAATCATAGAATGACTGACGAAAACTCATCTTATGGTGAAAGAGTTTAGTCCAACAGCGCACTTTATGTGTTATAGGTATATATAGTATATATATAAATAACAGAAAAACTATAACATACTATAACAGAAAACAAAAAATATGATAATATAATATATATAGATATAATTTTATACTGTTTTTCTGTAATTAGTGGTATTTTCTATATCTTTCGAAATGTCATCTATTTTCGAAATACTAATTCGATTTATTTAATGCGATAACTCCAAAGAAACGCATTTTACGATAATTTATGATGCAACTTGGCCTGCCTCTAATTGACAAACGATCTTCATAAATATGCCTAAATCAAAATTATAAGATCAATTCGAAATTTTCAGAATTTTCGTTCGTGGACAAATCTGACCTCATATGTCATGTTTATATATATATATATTTTGACGTAAGAAAAGGTTAATTCGACTTTGACATTCAACGCATAAGTCCTATGATTTTTAAAGTGGATATGTGACTAATACAATATGGCCCAGTGCTGATTGTTGGTCATTTTCAATGCAGACATATCCAACGGCTTGACTTGTCCTCCGAAACACGGAGAAATTCAAGATACTAAAGTCATGGTCCTCCTCATGGACTAGTCTTTGCGAATGTTCAATAATCTTATTTAAGGCATGTATTCACTTCGTCGTCTTTCTTATTCGATTATTTCATTTCATATATTTCACACGTTTTATAGTTGAATAACCACTGTTATTGGTAGCGATTATCAATATTGAAACGGATCAAATGATAATAATCGACATTTTAATCGATTAACATCGATTCTGTAATGGACGTGTTGCGGTGAAAATCGCGAGTGGTTTGCGGCTTAATGATGTAAGTGTCAGTCGGTTATTATATTTAGAAGTTGTCGAGAATTGAGGAATGATTTTATTAGTAGTTTTAATTTTACTGTTACCTGTTGCTTTTTTCTTATTCTTGACTTTTTAACGTTACATGATGAAAATGAATGAAGTCTTTTAAAGTTTTGCTATCAAATTAAAAATGGGAATATTCCAAATTCAACCTCTAGTTGTCGTTTAAAAATACAATGTACACAAGACTTTAAAATTCTGCGATATGTTTTGAACAAAGTTCTTCATACAGTTTTAGAATTTAGATAGATAGTTTTTGATAAACCGCATGCATAACATGACAAACTCGAAAACGTTTTCTCTACACCCAAATGTCACTCTTCTCGATTGCGAACATAGAACATCTAAAAGCTTTGTGCTTTTCCTTTGTGCGTGTTTGTCTACAATTCTGATTTTACATGTAGAAATTAATTTATTGACTTGACATTGGCAGAAATGCGCAGATAAGCCATTAATAAAAGAGTAAGAAGTAGAACATCGTTGGTAAAAAATGGCAATTGGTGTAGATGTCGTGGGCCAATAGTTGAATTGAGCCGATCTAAATCTGGCCGGGCATATCACAATATACCGCCAGTTCTTGATTTGTCCGACTTTACTCAGACCAATCGATTTTGTAAAGTGACCAAAGTACTATGTACGCAGAGATAGGTATTACCCGGAACAATATAAATGTAGCAAATCGACAAATACATTGCTCTCGTTAATCTGCCAAACTTTTAACCGAGACGATCGTGATTTTCCTGGCCAAATCAAGAAATGGCGACATATCCCTGCCCTGTGCCCTCAATCTGCATAATGATATGCCCTGGCAGATCGTAATCGGCCTAATTCAAAGATTTGCCCACGACATAGACAAAGTTATTCTCGAGTGAATCTGTTACATGTGTTGCTGTGTTAATTGTATTTATGCAGAGTTGATCATTATATTATTCTAATAATATTTGAAAGCAATTATGAATGTCTAGGAAGCCAGAGAAGTGTGTACCGTGTCTCAAGGCGCCCTCTCCATATCTCGCAAGAAATCTGGCCTAAGATACATATAGACATATAAACATATAAAAGCAGCTGTTTTCCCGCGACGTCGCCCTCAGAAATTACAGTTTATAGAAAACGAATATGATGTAGCTTTTCGAAGGTGAAAGAATTTTCATGATCGGATCTGCATTTTTAAAGATTACCAAGGGGTTGTAAGGACAAAGTTAAAAATTTTACATCCTTGTAATATTAGTATGAACAATGATTATTCACTTACCAAAACACTTTTAAAGGAAACAATGAAGATTTAATGTTTTTTCACTCTTCAAAATATATATCTATTCACTTCACTTTTTACACTTTTGTCACTTATTCACTCACATTGCTCACCTGCTAGTCACCCAAAATAATAATCGTAATAATAAAATAAAGCATAAATTATTACTGCGTAAAAAACAAATTTAAAATAAATCAGCAGAATGTCTTTTACATATAATAAGAGTTGTCGAGTTATACCCCTTTGGGTCTGTGGACCTTCAGAGACTTCTTGCATTTATATCACGCGTGAGCCAAATAGAACCCTGTAACAAATTAGTTTAAGTTGAAATTTGTACAGGGATAAATAAAAGTATATGTTATTTGAATTAAATAAAGAATTTTACTTGTACAATTTCTAAAAACAGTTCGTTTTTTGACCCTTTGTGTTTGTTATATGATTCGCCGAAATCTTTGTACGTGCATAACGTTCAAACGACTGCACCAAATTGGATGATTCTTTTTGATGTTTTCCTTATTGTCAAGACAAGGTTTTTATATAGGAAAATTTATAAAAAATTGCATCCCTTGTATGTGGAAATCTGTTGATTCAGAATTTGTACATATTGATAAAAGATAATACAATATCCAGATAAGACATAATATAGTAAAGATTTGTTTCTACATTGACGTGATTGGGAAATGAACCCGGTACTTCAGAGATAGCAAATTTGCAACCGGTATACGAGTCACTCTGCACAGAGGTCGTCGATTCAGCAATATATTAGTTAATAAATTTACAGATTAAATTATTTTGTTTTTGTGTTTGAAATAGTTTCTTTTCCAATAAAGATAAGAAAATATATCGAAATCATGAGACGAGGTAATTAAACTAATTAAATTGATGTGCCAAATAAGACCGTCAATATTACTAATTACTAATCATTTTGATTACCTATTACAAAAGTCAATATCACATCGACATCTATACAATTGATTAATTTCCTTAATTAAATAAATTAATTGATTAATTAAATAAAATTATCAGAGCTCAATGGTGCGACGGTTGATCTTAGGATAAATGACTATTTTTTTTAAAATCTCAAGCCCCTGTGATTTGAAGGCATGTTGAGCTCATGGTCCCGGCTACATCTACAGTCCAGCAATATACACTGGGCACATGTTAATAGTAGGAAGTTGAATAAAATGTATCTAAGAGTAAATTGACTTGATTAAATCATAGAGAAATGCTATAAATTTTAACCTATCACGATGAAACATTCTATACTTGTATTCATTGATATTAATAGATATTAGTTATTTAAGATTTTTAGTAAAAGTTGTAACGGTACATCGTACCACACCGTTTATTTTGTCCTAGGTTTCCGCATCCAATTATTTTTCAACTTTTCCAAGGTTTTTCGTAATTTGAAATTTTGAGTAACACGATATGCCCTTTCTCGATGTTAATTCGTAAGAAATTAGTAAATATTTATTAAGTATGTATATTTAAAATCTATGCTATTATCACGTCTAGTTAGCCATTTAATTTTCCAACCAACAACTAGTACCTACCGCACCCTTGTTAAAAAGTCATGTAATATAATACGTATAGGCACTTATAAGAAATTTAAATTAAATAGACTAGTGTCTGTCTGCTGGAACCTATGCGAAAACAGCAAAATACTGGATTTATTTTCATACGTCTTACCCTAAATAACGAAGTAATTCACGATGAAATATAACACATACAAATATCGACGTATGATTATAATTTTTGAAGATCAAAGAAAAAAGTTATGTTAACACTTCTGTGATATAATAATGAACATACATACTGTATATTTTGTTTAAAAAGATATTTTTTAAATAGAAATATATGTACACAGTTTAGAAAATAAGCTTTCCTAAATTGTCTCGAATCTGGGTGTTTTATCTTCTTTGTCTCAGATACTCCATAATATAGGGGCTTTAGCAACTTATTTTGGGAACTGAGAAGTGTATGTGATATTATCTAATATTTATAATTAATATATATCTTAATTTGTTAAGAATCTCTTTACAATAGATTATATTGAATTTCGTAACATATTAAAGTATTCCTGAACTGTATCAATGAAAAAAAGAACCAAAAAATTTTAAAGAAAAGTTTCTGTTAAATTTCATAACTTTAATAATAAATTGCAGTCTAATAAATTTCAAATTATACGAAATAAAATGTGAAATCTCATTCTATAATGAACATCTCGCAACAATGCAATATCGGATCGGTCACAGACGAGATAATTCCAAAAGTTATATTATTAATCATGTTATCAATGGTTTACCGCTGAGAAGCTGTTTTGTTATTAAATTACATTATTTTTATCCTTTATTAAGCGAACGATTTGAAATCAGAATTGGAATCTTTTAGATACTTTTTTTTGTCAACACTGTTGTTAATTTTTTTTATTTATGATTCAATGTGCATTTTCGTCATAGCGACAAATTTTTTGTATGTAACATCATAAGTTACTACAGTACACGATAGGTGAGCCAACTATTATACAATTCATCTCTGAATATTTTCCTATTAAAGATATATTTTAAATGAATAGATAACCTTCTAAGAAGAAAACCTACAATAAAACTTTCATGTAATTCATTTAAAACTCTAAAGACTATGAAAACACAATAAATGACGTCACACATAATACTTTCGTAAAGGTTATGTAAAAAAGACTCAATCTGCATAATTTTTGACACGAACGCGACTAACATTCCCACGCCTCCATTGTAACATAATAGCATTGACAACAAACACAACTTTTAACAAAACTCCATCGAAATTAAGTTTTAATTTGTAACTTCAAATTAAAGGCGTTCGAATAATGAAAAAAGTCATTGGCTCAAATAAAAAAATGCACCTAAAAAGTATTAAATTCGAATATATCATTTTTTTAAACCGAGGTTTAAAATTAAGAGTTTGGAATGTTAAAACCTTATTTTATAAATAAATCGAAAAGCTCACCTAAAAAGTTAAATATTCCAAATTCGAAATTTTGTTACAAAGTGATGAATATAGATAACTTATATAGTTGTAATTTCACTGCACTATAGAGAACAGACTTTCGTGTCTGTGGCACTGCGTTGTACTGCTCGTGGAGTAGCGTAGGTGGGGGGTATGGGGTAACCAAATTAAAGTATTACGAAAGGATATTGCGGAAGAGTTTGATTTAAAATCTGCATACATGTTGTTGTAGCTAATTGATTTAATGAATGAACCACAACTAGCAAAAGAGAAATTTTCAATTGAAAATTTTGTTACAAGAATTGCCTTCGTTATTGTCGAATACGTAAAAATATTAAAATAAAGAAATTTCAGCAACTTTTGCGTTTTATTATTTTATATATAATATACAAAAACTATAAACCAATATGGCATATACTAGTAACCGGAGAAATAAAAAAAAATTATTACTTACTCAAATCTATTTGTCAAGTGTTATTATGATCGATTAAATATGAATTCCTTTATACGTTGATAATAAAAAATAAAGATAATAATTATGTTTAATAAATGCTTAACAAATGAAATCTTGTTTAAAAACGTAAGCCAAATGAAACGAAACATAACTTAAATAAATTAATATAATTCAGCCCCTTTTATAAATAAATTCATATAAATAATATCTTAACTTGCAGATTTCTTTAATGATTTATCATTTTATTGTGATGATTTATATACACAGTTATGTTGGCACTTCCAAAGCAATACACAGCAGGTGGGGAATTAGGGTGTGCATGTTTTGTCACCATTAAGCAGGACAAAGTAAAATAGCCTTTTCAACAATAGTTGCCTCAAACATATTTTTTTAATTCAATCTTTAATTGTAATATTAACACATATCTAGCAACCTTGCTCAGCTTTGTATAGGAAAACTGCAACAAAATCCAAGGCATGGTTTAGGATGAATTAAAAACCTAAAAAATACTGGATTTGCCTGACTCACTGGAATTAATAAATTCATGGTATTCTCAATTGAAAAATTATTCCAATTAAACAATGACTTGATGTCGTTTGAAAAACTCATCTGTATTAGTGAAGTAACAAATTTATAAAAGCTGACCCCACTGAACTGTAGGAACTTTTTGAGCTCTCAATTGTTAATTAAACAACATTCAAATTTCAATCCTGTATTTCTACTAGTCATTAGGACAAGACTAATCGAAACATATTTTAGTTGAGCACACTAGAGCTCTACACTGTAGGCAATGTTAGGCGTCACTATCTAATATTCAATCCACTCAGCTACTCTTTATCTTTGAAAAAAGTTTACAGTTATAACTATAATAATAGAGTATTCCATAGTAATCCAAACTCATGGTATTCGTAAGCACTTGCGTGTGAGCACAATGCTTGGTCGGCTACAGTCACCAACGTGAAATCGAACAGCAGTTGTTTATTATAACATAAGTATCTAAGCGATCAGATTGTATAATTTTATCTAGGTGTAGGTCTTTTTTAAACGATATTTTTGTTACCGGTAATCTGTAGAATCCGGTATTCTATGCAATACCCACGATACGATACCAATATATAGAATATCTAAAACGTGTAGATAATGTATGAAATGTTATTATTATTCCAAGCGTCCAACTATTAAGGCTTATGAAATACATATATATATATATAATCGCCGAAATAAAAGGACTGCACCAAATTGAATGATGTTTTTTATGTGTTCCCTTTTATTAAGGCAAGGTTTGTATATAAGAAGATTAATAAAACAAAAGAAAATTATATAACTACTAAAGAAATGATATATGGCGGTACGAAATTCAGCTAGCAAATGATAAAAAAGAAAAACACAAACATTGTGTTTAACAAATTAGCGACTAATACTCGTTAAGGCAAGGTCTTATTCGAACTTGCGACCTTTCACGAAGGCTGTCGTTTCATCCAACCATGTCAACATACTTCACAGGAGGTATATGTATACTCAAATTGTTTTATATGCTATTGTAAACATTTAACACGAACTTAATTAACTTAATCCAATATAATTATGTTATAATATATTTTTAAGCATTTGAGAGTTGCTGGATGGACATAAAGATATTTTGAATAAAAAATTAAGGAAAAAGAAATGTTTCTAGATTTCGGGGAAAGTAAATAAAATTTTGACAGTCACTAGACTATGTTTGTA